ACAAACATATATATATATATATATATATATATAGGAAAAACCTAAAAAATGCCTATAGGTGAATTGCTACAGTGTTTCGCCACCGCCACCGATGACCCGCCGTCCGTTCTGGTTCCTTGTGATTTTTTTGCGGTCATAGACCTAGTATGTCCGTAACGCTACCGCCACGGACATGCTATGTCCGTGGCGGTTAAAAAATGCATGGCATCCGATTTTTTCGGATGGCGATGAGCCTATCGGTGAAATCACTGTAGCATTTCGCCCATAGGCACTGCGTAGATGCTTCCATATATATATATATGTCCAACCTTGTGGAAAAGGTCGGATAGATCTAACCACTAGAGCTATTTAATCTTTTTCTATATGTTTTATATATTATAAATTAGAGCCAGTGATTCAGCCCACAAACTGGCATGTTCTTGGGCGATTTTCGATCTGGATTGGCAAATTCTTAATCATTGATAATACACACATTACGTTGTAGATCGCATTTTGCTATTCTCAATGCTTTTATTTACGCATCGAACATACTTTTTAGAAATTAGTCTGGTCCACAAGTTGTGCGTGCAGTGGCCTTGCCAATCTAATGCGTTTATGTTTTGTATTGTAAATTGACAATTATTTTTGAATGTTGGTCTAATTAATTGAATTGAAAGGCTATGATTTCTTGCACGGCAATGAGAGACAAATAGGCATCACAAAAATTCTATGGATGTAATATACTTATATTATTTTATATTTCAAAAATGATATGAAGTACTTGCTGGAGGTGGGGAGCTTTATTTTAGAACACTTGTCATTCCAAATCTAAGTTCCACCTCTTATGTTGATTGATATAAGAAAAAAATTTGCACTTAGAAATAAGTCACTCAACAAAACAAAGCGAACCTACTAATTAAAAAGGTAAATAAATATGGGTAGCTTTATTCATAGCATCTTGATTTTTTTGTATTAGTTGCTGAAGTAGAAAGTGAGTATATATAATATTCTTCGATTAAGCCTGCTCCATCTTTGCACTACTTTCAGCCTACTCTCTCTCTTTCTCTCGACAATGATCAAGAGGTGTTTCTACAAGCAAGATCATGGAGATAAGGATGACGACTCTGCCTCTTCTTTCTCCTCTTCTGACGAAGATTTAGATCCTAACCAAGAAGAAGAAGAAGAAGAAAGGGAAGACAAAGGGGCTTCTTCTCCATTCCCAGGTTTGTTTTCCTTATTGGGTTCTCATATCTCTTCTCTGTTTAGTTGCAATTGAGACCATGCTTGTAAGTTCAGTTCCTTTCAGCTATTTTCTCTTAACTTTATCAAAAAAGGGAAGGAGATTTCTTTAGTGGAATTTATTGGGTTTTACCTATTTTTAATATTAAAAATGGGCAGAAATTACATGAGGTGTAATGCTTCGACTATTTCTTTCAGTTAAAAGATCGTCATCCTTGGATCTTCAATTTCTCTCATCCATTTTTTTTTTCCGATGTCTTTCTCATCCAGTGTTTTTTTCCAATAGGTTCAGGGTATGAGAGTGAAGAGAGCTCTGAAAATGAGCTTGACTGCTACTCTTCAGGTGTGGACTTTTTTTTTCCCGTTTCTTTTTTGATAATGCTTGACACCTAATATATTTTGAGTAGTTTTGTTGGGAATTTCTATTTCATTTTACAGGTGCTGTTGGAACGGTTTAGGAATGGGTTAAAAAATGGTCGCAAATACTTATTGTGTTTGAGTGTTGGTTAATTGTTTAGTTGTGGGACTTTGGACTAACTACGAAATTTCCAAAAGATATCCTGTTCTCTTCTTTAACTCCTTGATTAAATTGTGAATCTTGTTGTCACTGTAGCCTTGACTGCTTTTGAACCAAAAAATCAGGTTTAAGGTCTCCCATATGGGGTGTGGTTTGTATGAGGTTGAGGCCCTAAAGAATCAAAGTAAGGTCCCATATGGGGTGTGGTTTGTATAAGGTTGAGGCCCTAAAGAATCAAAGTAAGGTGCACATCAAATAGTACCGAAATATATTGTTTCAGTGTCTGAAATCTTTATGATGACCTGAAAATTTCTTTTCATCTCTAATTATAAAATTTAAAGATTAAAAATTGTGCAGGTTGAGTAGATCTATGTACACTTGAAAATCTTGAAAATTGTCGGTCTAGATAATGTATTATAAGATGCATTATTTCCAAGATTTAAAATCTATTTTTCTCATGTCCATACATCTTGATGTCTAGATGATTGAATTGAGTGTTTGTCAGCATCGAAACCTAGTGAATTTTTGAGGCGCACCTTTATTTTATTGTTTAGGGCCTCACACTTATATAAACTCTTACCTATATATATATATATATATATATATATATATATATATTAGTTAGGTTTAGGTTAGTACTACACATATAGTATTATTA